TGAGACAAAGAACAAGGCACCATTACTAGATCAAATGTGAAACCAGAACCTGGTCTAAAATCTTGCCTACCTATCTGGTTTAAACCTGTGAATTCGTGTGCGGGAGGAGGGCGAACTACAAAGTAATCGTTGGTCAAACGATTCCAACGGTTGAAAAGGCGGGAACGAACTGCTGATTCATAAAATCACCGTTTGTCAACACTAATTGTAACTTTAAAACGAAAACTTTATAAACTACCCTCCCTAAAGCATTAAACCAACACTCTTAGAAATACTTATTCAAAAAAGAAAACTCGTAAATCAAGCAACTAATTTAAAACTTTTATTACACACAAAACATCAACATGAACATGGAACAGGCATACTTTGCACTCGCTAAACTCAACGCCGACCTGAAGAAAGCCAACGTAAATATTACTTACATTAAAAACGAGATCAGTAGACTGGAGTAGTCGTACAAAACTCTGGATGGTGAACTCCCGAAACTAGGAAAAATTGACTCGTACCCATTCCTAGCCACCCACCAACCTCTCAGGCACCACCAGGGCACCACACTGCGCCCCCACATTCAACAGGTTCTCGATCCTTTCCTCCTCTTCCCACCATAGCTACCTTACCACAACTGGTAAACAATGGGCACATGCCTAAAACAACACTCGCTCACGTAAAATTTGCCGACAGCCATGGCAGGAATCTTTCCTCCATTGGAAGAGAAACTCCTGTTCCCAATTACAGGTATTTTTAAACATAGTGCCACAATGGTACATAAAATTGGGAATTTAAACACTCAGACTAGATCTTTTACGCAAACAGGGCAATAGTAATTATGGGGGCAGGGACAGAAAACTACATTAACTGGCAATCACTTTGATACAGTGGAACACTTAACAAAAATATCAGAGACTGCGAAAGGCACAAATGTAATCATGACCACTCTGCCCCCTGGCATTCCTATAAACAATGAAAGTAAGATCCTAAACCATCGAAACACAGCACTTGAGAGAGACACCCATCACACACTTTTGATCTTAAACTTCTCCAGAAAACATTTTACTCAGCATGGTCTCCACATGAACCAGATAGGCAAGCAAAAACTAGGCGCCCTGCTCATCTCTCACCTACTGGGAACCCTTGCCCCTGCCACCCCACATCCATCTCCCACCCGTTCTTCGGCCTCTCCATCCACAACCCTCTTACCCACTCCACATCTTTCACCAGCATCCACTCCTCTCTTACCCACACCAGTTTCTTCTCCTACCTCCCACACCTCTCCTGCCCACTCCACTTGTTCCACACTTCCTATTCCCCATCACATTTGTTCATACAATTTCAGTTGTAAATGAAACCCCACTCCTGTGTATAACCTTTAGCATCAAACATCAACAAGAAAGCAGACAATACACAAAAATAAAGAAAACTTATTTTCACATTCTTCACCAAAATGTACAGATACATCATTGGGCCAATACTATTCCTTATATAAATTACATGCCTTTGGCTTTAAGGAATAACAAAACAATTTTGTTGGCAGATGACACAAACAATCATCAAAGATAAAACACAACAATCATAAGAAAAAGAAACTCGCAAAACTTTGCATTCACTAGTAAAATGGTTTCAAGACAAGCTCATCATAAACATCAGCAAGACTCATGAATCACTGATCTAAAGAAAAAATCTCACAGCATTTGCTTATGAACAATAACCCTGTAACGATATCTCATGGAACTACCTTCCTCAGTCTAACAATTCAAGAAAATCTAAAATGGAATGCTCACATTTCAAATCTTTACAAGAAGCACACCAAATCTTGCAGTGCCCTATACACACTCAGGTTAAGCTCCAACATTGAGACTATTCGAACACTGCATTTTGCAAACTTGCACTCACACCTAAAATAACGAATAATATTCTGGGGAAATGCCCCTGAAAGCACTACCACATTTGTTCATGTTTCAAGTAAAATTTACTTCAAAGAATATTGTGAACAATGACCAGCACTCTTAAGCTGGAGTCTTGCAAACCCTTGTTCAATAAACTAAGGATTCTTCCTCTACCATGCATGTACATATTTGAAATAGTGGTCTTCACAAAGAAGGTTCTCATGGAAAACAAAAGACACTTGCTCTAAATTTTGATGTACAAAACTAGAACACTCGTCAAAAGGATAACCTACATGTTCCCACTGTGAAACTACACTTTATGAAAAAAGTACCCTAATAGAGGGCATTACATGTTACAACAAACTAGGCAATGATATAAAAGACAAATACAATTCATACATTTAAAAGTAAATTGAAAGCTTGAACATGTTCTACAATATGAAGCAATATTCAAATCACAACAATATTTCCATTAATAAAATTTAAAAAAAAACAATTTCTTACCCCCATTTGACTTTGTTTTAAACTAAAGCAATGAAAAAACTGGCATATCACATCCTGACAAAAATTTGTTTCTCTGGATTTGCTTGATGCATTAGGTGTTACAGTAGGACTATGTGTACCAAAAAATTGTAAACTTTTTATGTAGTTGCTACTATACATGATATAATGTACTGTTTTAGTAATAAAATTACTATAAGTAGTAGCAGTAAAACGACAATAAGTAAATTTTACTTCAAACATGAAATTGAACAAATCTTGAAATGTTCAATTATTCGCTACTAAAAATAATTATATGTATATACTGTATAAAATCCTAATCTCTCTGTAGCAAGTATTGTAGTATAATCCCTAAGCCAATGATCTCGATCAGGTTTATTGTTCAGTTTCCCTAGTCCCTTGTTTCGCTCCGAACAGTAATATAACTGCGCTCTCTACACCCAAGACTAGTCATACACGATTGTAATTGTGTATGTGACTCTATTATTATTATTATTATACAATTTTGTGTTGTAATAGTGACGAACAATAAAGGGTACGTTGAACATTTACTCGAGCTTATAAACTTTCTGAAGAAAAATATTTCATCGATAATAAAAATCAGAGTTCACTTGCCTTGAAACAAACATCAGCGTGCAATAATTCACGATTCCTTTGGGCACACGAGGCGCGACGCGCAATTTTCTTCACGTTTCTCCAATTAACTTCTTTGTCCTTCCGAGTTACCTGTGTCAAGAACAGGATTGTACGACACAGAATGGCAAATTAAGAAGTTTCAAATAGAGAACGCGAGAAGTCCAATCAGACTCAAAGCATCATTACCAAATAAATAACGTCGCAAATTTAAAAATTCTCCTCATATGACCATCATTGATGCCTACCGCCAAGCGCAACTACGCGCGTTGCGCGCGGCTCGAGAACTTCCTTCCGGCGGGCATGCTCTGGCATGCTCTTTGGCTGCCTATTTGAAAATATTTCCACAGAATATCTATCGTTCAGGGAGTGTACAATAAATACGCTTATGACGCTCCCGGTGTTTCCATCCAGGCATCATTCGTTCGCCCGGGATGTTCAGAATAACGTCACAAAGTTCACCACTGTAGAATCACGACCATTGATGAATAAAGAAATAAAATTGGTTCACGGGATTGTCAATGTGGTTTGTGAAACAATTAGTTAAGCCGTTTCGAAATACTTAATTTCATCATCAGGGCTAAAGTATAAACAATAAACATATATAGGGTAACTAAATATATAGAATATTAAAAAACATCACGAGCTCATTACACATTACAAGTTTTTTATATATTCAGACCATTACTTATTCAAGAAAACCATTAGCCAAAGTGGCGCAAACTGTCACACACATCACATACTTTCTCGCATTATTTCTACATTCACAATTTTCGATAATTCAGAGATATCAAAGAAAATTAAACCCAAGCCATTCTTTTAAATCTTACCTTGTTCTATCAATAAAAAAGAAAAAAAAAAAAAAAAAAAAAACCAATAAATAATACAGAGCAGTTGTTTGAGAAAATGTTTTTTTTTATAAATTGCATACATGTATTTAAACTGCAATTGGATATACCCCGGTGGTAGTCAATTGCATAAATAAGGTAAATCGTTTTTTTTTCTTTTTTTAAAAAAAATTGCACATGACCTTTACATGTTGACTTTAGGCAATTTTTGAAAATACAGTGTTCGTCGGAAATCCATGTTGGCAATTTAAAAACGCGCTGTGTTTACTGAGAAAGGTTTCCGTTCGTTCCTCCTTACACTGCAACTTAAACCGGAACTCAACAGGCATTGTATTGCATTTCCTTCCATTGCAAATTACATTAAAATTTTCTGTTTTGTACTTAAGTTTTTTTTATATCTGTATTGTACATTGAATAATTATGTACACATCTTGTCTTTTTATACATGTATGTCACTTAAATATAGCATAAGCATTTTTTATTAATATTATAAAACTATTTTGGTGATAACAATGAATGCCATCTAACTGTTCCTTCCTTACATAAAAATAATTCGATTTGCAAGGCAGATAAAACTTTCTAGATCCATATACTTCAAGAAATAGTTTACCAGGTTGGAAATATGTGAAACCCTTAACCTTACTTATTCTAGATATATTGTGAAAAATCGTTCAAAATTTGAAACGAATGACATCTGAAGAAACCAAAATTTCATTCATTCCAAATTCGTACACATTTTCTCTCTGTACAAAAATACAGCAATATGTTATGTAGAATATTATACAATGATAATATTAGTATCAAGTGCAATGCTAGTTTACGTCCCAAGCCTTCCGCAACATTTGGATCAACCACAATAATTGCGCAATATCATTCATCTGTCCATTTCTGAGTCTCTGGAATACAAGCTCCTTTCAACAAAGAAAATTACAAAATACGTAACATCACTTACAAATCAGACAATTGAGGAAATTAAATTGAAACAACTACCAATGTTCAAGGCTAATATTTTGTTGAATTAAAAAAATAATAATAATAATAATAATAATAATAATAATAAAGTAAAGAAAAAAGAAACAGGAAAGCAATCAAAAACTGTAGTACTCACAATGGGCAAAATGTTATCTATTACCACCTAATTTTTTTCAATTATACAACTTGGTACATTCATTCTTAAAAAATAATTCATACTGATGCAACTAAGTTTTCTTAATTAACTGGTACTTGTCCTAAATACCTGATACTTTACGTGTTCAACACCCTATTAATTCACAACTTACTCAAGAAATGTTCAAAGAGAAGAATAAAGAAGAAACTTTCACCATCTACAAAAATATTTTTGACAAAAAAGAAAAACAACATATTCTTTTCCAAACCTTTTACTAGTACATTTTACATGCCATTTTCACAATAAATGCACAATCTGTCTAAACACATGTTGTAGTGGTCATTGGACAAAAACCAAGAGTGTAGTGCATTGCTATACTCTTTTAATTATGTCACTGGGCTTGAAAACATCATTTTGTTGCCCGAGTGTGAAAACCATTCAAGTAAAATTTATCAAAAATTGTTATAGAACAGTTGAAGACAGAACACCTTGCTTGTCATGTTCAATGCTAAAAGTTGGTTAGTTTTAGCGTTCTAGAGGAGAAAAATGAAACCAGTTTATATTGATGTATTGCCACCCAAGTAACTTAAAATTAAAATACTAAAATTAAATTAAGTTTAATTTTACATAACACCACTTGTTTTGTGTTTAAAGCCACTAAAGACTCATAAACACTTATAAAATGTACTCCTTGAAAAGTAACATACAAAAAACAGATTTTTGTTTCTGTTTGAAATTTTTTAACTTGCATGGAATTCTCAATAGGCTGACATTTGTTGATTCAAATCACTCAAATATTAATTCTTTACTTTGCATTTCCTTGGTCAATAATATTTTCCTAATAAAATGTTACCTGTATGTTTTGATGTGATCTACAACAAATGGAAAGATTTCTAGTGTTTTATGTTCTGTACAAGACAGTGAATCATACACATGAAGTGAATAAAGACAAACAAAGAAAATATGAAGCAAAAGTACATAAATAATTAAATAAGTCCATGTGAGTAAAGCTTGATGTAATGAAGTTACATGACCCATTACAAATGCTGAAACATTTTGTCCAATGAACATTAAATAAGTGGATTACAAAACAAACAATGAAGTCAAGCTACCTCATCATTTAAATAAAATAGGAATATACAACACTATGCATGCCTAAAACATCCTTGCTGCATAGCTATTCATCTGAAGATCTCAGATACTCAGTCGGACGGCCGTCCCCTCCAAAGAATTAAAAATATCAGCTATTACTTGTATCAACAATTTATCGTACCACTTACATAAAAACTCCACAACCAACTCATTTTTAAAGCAAAAAGCTTACAACACATCATTCACTCCCAGCAAATACACATTCTAAAACAGACTAACGCAGAAAAGTGAGACTGAGATGAAGGAAAAGCAATCAGCAATTGTCATTTGTTTTCCTGCTTGACTGAAAGGAAAAGGGTGAAAATTAAATATGAAAATTTAATATTATTTATATGACTGTCATTAATTTACCAAGTTATATTGGTTACAGTTCCTTGTTTCTGTACATTTTATACAGAAATACACATTTCAAATCTTATGTTTTTTTTTTATTGGTAATTTCCGGATGACCTGAAACATCATCTTATTAATTTTCATTCATTTTCTTACTTTTAGCATTTCTGAGCATCCACAAAAAAATACTGTCAATAAAACAAGGCACCATAACCAATGTAACTTAATAAGGATGAAGAAGGGTTTTTTTTTTTTTTTTTTACTTTCACGGAAAGTATGGCAAGAAATACGAAGCAAGCCAGGATATTATTTCGTAATAGCACAGCCAGCAACAGACAATGTCTGCGCAATTGTTTGAAAGATTTGCAATATGCGTGCAAAGCAGTGTCCACAAAATAACTTCTGAAATGCCATGTTCACATTGCTTGTGTATCACTAGTGTTACAATGCAGTTATTAAAATAATAAACTTCATATTTTCAGAAATCTTTAACAAGATAACTTTTAAAATTTTAACATGCAACAATGACTGTAGTAACGGCAATTTTAAGTGATATAAGCATGATTGTTTTGCCAGTACATATCATTTTAACAATATCATTCTTATATTCAACCATCTACATACAAAGAGTTATTTTCTTTCTTGTTCTTCACTAAAACATATTTTCAGGTGAAAGTACTCTTATGATGATTCATAATAATCAAGGAAAATAATTACTCAGTACAAACATATATTATTTATTCCAACTTTGAATGTTTCTGAAAGTAATTAACGTTCTGTTGCACATTGTAGATTGATTTTCCAGCTGGATTTGAACTGAACAAAATGGCATCACCACCTAACCAACTGTATATAAACTTGTCTTGATGTCGCACATTTCACAGAAACCATTATCTCAAGTTATTCATGGCAATTAACCATTATTATTCATAATCAGGATGGCCACACATTTTCTGGATCAAAGTTCCCTGACCATTCCCTGTTTTCTAATTCATTTAAAAAAGATTCTCCTGATCAGATTTTTGTAATGTATTTCACACTTGTTAAAGAATTTATGAATTAAAAGCAAATCTGATACTATTTTGTCAGCTCTCATATTTCACTACGGTAATGTACAAATTAACAATATTTCCAAAATTTGGCCATCTTGATATTTCATAGCAAATCCAGAAGTTATCTTTAAAAAAATCACTGCAGCTTAATATGTATTTTGTTAATTTTGTTATCAACAAAATCACAACACATTCGCAGAGAACTATATCTAGGAAGATATTGACCGATCTATGGACAGGACGTGAAATTGATATTCTAGTCTTCATTTCTGTAAATATATATTTCTACCTACAAATAATTTTTTCTCCATGTTATTAAGTTCTTTCCGACTCCTCTTCCCATTCAACTTTGTTGTAACAACACCAGTGAAAAACTCTTAACTTTATATCTGACTCACTAAGTGATAAAAAGACAGAAAAATGCAGAACTAGTACTTATTTCTAAACTGACTGGCAAAACAACCAACAGTGCCCATGACTGCTGCCAACCACTCTTCAATTTGAACTGAACTTTCTTTCCTCCAGTATTTGAACCGATTCACATGCTTCTTTTTGACAAACTATTTCCGATTTCAGCTAGGGGCATGTTTGGCTTCCTGAACCCAAGAACAGAAGCCCCCCTGGACATGCACATGTTCACTAAATCTTACAAAATCGTTCATCAAAAAGAAGCATGTACATCGGATAGTGTTCATCACTATTTAAAGTAATCAGAGCTACGACATTGCCCACTAGAAGGCCCACCCCTCAAATGCAGTAAAACCTCGCTTTCAGGTTCCTCGAATATAGTTTTCCTGCCATTTAAACAATTTTTTCTCAGACCCTTGAAAAGTGTAAAGGAGGGGTTTTACTGGACATTCAAAATTATGACAAGCATTTTATTTCATGGGAGAACCTATGATAATTTTGCCAGCCATAGCAATCCTTTCATCACAAAAGGAACATCTCTACCATTCATAAACTTAGGGCTCTGCTGAGTTCTTAGTTTGTAGTAACAAGCCCTACAAAAGCACAGAATATGGCTTCCTACCAATTTTAGAAGGTTCTGGCAGCAACTTGAATTTAATTATAACTATTCACTAGGAAATTTTCGTTTGTAGCAACGTCAAACCTGTTGCAAGTAGAATGAACAAAGCGATGTGCAAACAAAACTATTCTCAGAGTTTCAGCTGTATAATTTTGTTATCATCCACTGTTTTTTTAAATTACATTGCATCCATTGAAAAATTAACTATTTATTGGTAAACTTGAATATTTCTTGTGCTTAAAGCAAAGTTTTATCTTTCAGCAATATATTACTTAAACAGAATGTTGAAGATAATTTTAATTTGTAAGAGGAGAAAATTAGAAATTGAAGAAAAAGTTTGCAAGAAAAGAGATGGTTACTACAAATATACAATAACACTGTACTACACTGTAAAGGCAGATCAAATTTTCTTTGCAAATGATACAGAATGGTACTTGTTTTTTGCTGAAATGAGCAATAACTTTGGTTGAATGGGAACGCTTACTGATGTTATTATAAATGCACCTATGATTGACTGTAGCGTGGGTACCTAAGGACAAGATCTGTTAATTGGAAAATGTTTTTGATAATAAAACCAAACTTGTTTAATTCTTAGTTAACACCATGCAAGAATATTCACAAGTTTACTGATACACAACCTTCATTTTAGTAGAAGGTTTCTCTAATTACAAGTGAACATTGGTACACACAAAGACATGATTAACAGATCTAAGACAAACTTTCCCAATTAGTTTTTATCTGAAGTTGTGAGTAAATACATAACTTACTGATAAACGAAAACTACTATTGCACTTCCAAGTATATCTTCTTGTACCTCACACACCATGACTAGTTTTGGTGCTTTTCTGTTCAGCTTTCTAACCTTAAATATTTATGAATAAATCATTTCAGATAAGGCATGATTTTATTTTATTCGTAAAACCCTGTGTGAGAACTAAAAATAAAATTTCATTTACACGTTTTGTTTCACTTTAATCTTTTTCAGTTCACAATCTACTTGCATAGTTCCTGAAAACTCGTGGCATTCAATTTTTCAGGAGATGTACTAATCCCAGGTTTGACAAACCTACCTTAAAAACCAGTAAGCATAATATGTAGTCTTGAAAAGGACTATTTACAATTACAGAGAAATATGAAACAAGTGAACTAATCAACGCCCTTTGCACTGAAATATCACAAAGGCTCCACTGAATAACACAGGCAAACGTTTCCTTTCAGAAACTCTTCTATTAAAAGTCTGCCCATTTCAGGGCTGCCACAGTGTTAGAGCAAGATTAACTTAACATTTTTAAAACTGATTTTACTGTAGCGTAAAGGTACAAAACTAAAATTACACTACTTATTACTTGATTGGTATCACGGAAGTTCTTTTTGTGTTTTCTTTCTTGTTTTCTAATGGTAACCTACAACATAGTATATGTATCCTGTTTTGCATTTTGAATTGTATCACTTTCCTACTTCTCCACTGACATCCAGTGGTGAAACAGGACTATTGGCTGCCTGGTTTTGCAGCCGAGTCGGTGGTACCACCGAAAAGGTTCAACGCCCAGTGAATCCCTCCTGTTGCTATGGCGACGAGCAGCACAGCCTGGGATGCTCTCTGTGGCAGGAACCCCTGGCAGTGGTGTTGAGAATGTTTGTGTCACAACAATCTGACACTGGGGGCACCTACAAAGGAGAAATTATGTCATCAGCTTTTAAAGTGACATTTTGGCTCTTATCAGAACGTGTTTAGTGTTTATTTTATAGACAGAAAATTCAATATTTTTGGATAGATATTTTACACAAAAAAAATAAATTATTGCAAACAGCAAAATAATTGCAGTCTGACAAAGTTATTATATTTACAGATAGAAAAGAGTACCATAATTTATTGTCAGCTCTTATTCCTTATTGTAAAAGATGGTAAGTGAACTGATTCTGTCTTATCACTTGCCCTGGCATGCGTTTTCGAAATTGCTGGCCTAGAAGATCACTACATTTGGTTGACAAATCACATTTCCAAAACCTATTAGGAAAAGAATAATAATTGACAAGAGTATTTTAATAATATTCTGGTTTGTTTCTGCAAGTTGTTATTTTTTAAATCACAAAAACAGCCAATCATGTCATAATCAAGGAATAATAATTAAAAAACCATGTCCCTTAAAATAATTACTGCATTGAATTTTTTGAGGATTATTTGCAACCTCCATAATCCAGTCCAGTAATGAATCTTTTTTAATCATTGTTCATGGAAGGTTTGTTGAAATTTTGCCCCCTTCCTTTCCGAAATAAAAATGAAAATAATCTGGGTAATAGCATTTGAGTGTTTGGATTTTGATTTTTTTTTTAACCTCCACAGGGGAAACAACTAAGTGAAACTAGATTTGCACAGAATGAGTGTGCTGCAAAACTCACTTGTAGGGATTTTGTTGTTATCTAACCTACTGACTGATTCTATATTTTCAGTTCAATAGATAGAGGTTTCAGAATGTCACCACAGAATCTAACTGGTGGAACTGTTAATAGAAATTTTGAAAATACCAAGAATCAAAAATTATTCACAACAATGATTGTTGGGGAAGTATATTGAGAGTACATTTGCATATCGTCATACTAATTAGCATACCTTGTAACTCCAAATTCAACAGTTTCGCAATGAAAAGAATAATCATAGTCGGGAAGCAGAATTTTAGTTTCCTTTCTGGTTGAACTTATAAATACTGGTGAACTCCATTATTTATGCTGCTTGAATTGTTATTTACATTTATTAATTACTCTTTTTTCATAATTATATATTATCATGAAGTAAATAGAAAAGGGAGAAGGGAATATGGAGTCAAGAGGCCTGCTAATTAGCATGACGATACGCAATAAAATTAAAAAAGCACTGGCGGTAGATAAGTTTCAATTCTTGGAAGCAAAGGGGATGAGTTGGAACTCACCTGCTTCAGTACCAGAAGTACGAGATGACGTAGGAGAGCATCTGGAAATGGATGTAGGTGGAGGTAATGAAGAAGAGGTGCAGGGCTGCGAAGCGGAGAGCGTCCTGGGCCACCTCGTGTGGGGGTGCGGGAGAGGCACAGAAGTCACGGATGGGGAAGTGGCCCGTCTTGTAGTACGCATCGAGCATGCGCTCCTTCTCAATGAACCTGTCGTACAGCCACTTGGTCATTTCCTCGTGGTCTCGAGGCACCTGCAACCAACAATCAATGCCACTGACACCTGCAACATTATTCCTTTGAGCAAGTGCTCAGATGGACCACTGGTGTGCTTCTCGACATGAATGTAGCTTTGCTATGTCCATGTTTTGCTGCTTTTGCTAGTTGTGGTAGGTGTGGAGCCAGGGTGTGGGTTGCTATTTGGTTATTAATACTAACAATGTAAATCAGAAGTTCGTTTAATGCAATTAAATTTTATATAACTTGGAAGAGAAAATTTCAAGTTTTCAAATGCTGCCCACCTTGCTTTGTTAGTACTCATATCCATCATTCAACTATGTGTACAACGGTGGGCAATGAATTCTGGTCGTAAGGAAAATGTGCACAGATTGTTTTTCCTCCCATATATCAGATACAATTCCTACTGTCTCTCATGAAAAATAAATCAGTGGCTTAATAAGACAAATTTAATAGATTGGGGAACAGTTTTGAGGGATGATTTGTTAAACATAGCACTACCTAGAATCGTTCTTTTTCATGAGCCTTAGATGCACACCGATGATGGATTTATTACTTTTTTTGCCAAAGGACAGCTCATGGACAGTGTACTAGCTTTCTGGATTCAATTCCTGGTTGGGGCAAAAATAGACTTGTAGCTTTAATGTAACATTGTCTCTATCTGTAACTGTTTGATGAAGAAAAAGCTCAGGCAGGCAGAGTTAGCTAGTTACAGTGCAGGGAATCATGTCTGTCACAAGTCTCATACTATCAAGAGTGGGAATTAGTTTCAGGCATGGGGAACACCATTAGCTAGTCGGACAAACAATCGAAAATTCCAAATACATACAAATTATTATTTTTCTCTCTTTAATGATTTTAGAAAACTGAAAACCATTGATTTTATTTATGTTGTGCTTTTTGTTCAAAATAAGATTCAATTGTTCACAAAGTTTGTTAGAATTTATCATAGGGTCTGACTTGGGCAAAAGGGGGCAACTACTTACATGAAAATTGAAAAGTGAGAATGGATTTTGAAAATATCTGTAGGATTTTGAGCCTTATTAAAATATACTCTAAAACATAGCTCTGTTATGAAGTTCAATCAGCCTTTTATTCGACATATAATAGCAATAGGATTTTCCTATTAAAAATAAATATATTGTTGCGAAAAAGTCCTTTTTCTTAAAGTTGAAAATGAAGTATGTTTTTAATTGTAGATGGGACTATCAATAATATTTTAATTACAGTCAATGTGATCCAGATTTTTTAATGGCAACAAAAATACTGTTAATTTTTTTCCCTCATGAAATTACAATAAGAAAAATTTATTTTTTCTAATAAAAATTTTTTTTTCATTCTAGAACTCTATTTCATCTTCTTCACTGATTTTGAAAAATAGCCTTAAATGGTTAAAAAATGTACAGAATACTGCTTTTTAAAATTGTAACAAAGGATATGAGTAAAAATGTCTATATAATTTATGGCATTATGTTTTTAAGTTGGACCATGCATTTAACGCTGGAATCGTAGTAGTTAAATTAGTTAAAAAAAAATGTTATCTTTTTTAACAAGAAATAAAATATCACCTCTATTTGTTTCAAACTTGTTTTTTCTAGTTGACTCATTATAATTTCTGAAAATAAAGAACTTAAACTTCTGGTTTGAAGGAACATTTACATGCTGCTAATCTTTGTTGATAACTTCAGAGTAATATTGTTTAAAATACATCCATTAAACATCATGTGTGCAATTGCCAGATCTCAATCAGTAGTATTATGGCATACATTGAGCAGTATGGTGCGAAAACTGAGGACATGAAACAAAGAAGTCTTGGAAACTGTTTTTTTTTAAAAAAAGATGTGATGGTGTAATGATATGTGTACAACAGCTTATTGCTGCCACCATTAATAAATTAATAAATAAATAAAAAATAATAAACAAATAAAAAAAGTAAAATTTGCATGGAAAAGACTAAGAAGTTATTGGATTTGATGCCAAGGCAACAGCAAGTTGTTTCTGATGGTTACGAAAAGGACATTAGTAAATATTAAAATCATTATTACTATTATATGCAGCTAGAGCTTATTTTTGTTTAATCCCGAAAGTGACCAAATAGTTTGAGAAATGCAAAATATCATTCTTTTGTTATTTTAAATTAAGCCGCTCCAATGCTTTGCAAAGATAAATATTTGATTTCTACATTAACTGAATATACTTTATACACCCTCTTCAAGCGAAACCTACGTAACCGCAGGTGCGCAAATATAGTTTGTAACCACTGAATGCAATATGAGCGCAAGGCTGGCAGCACTTAGGTATGGCAGTGTGCGGCCTACCGAAACCAAGTTCTTGAGTCTCAACACCTTCACACCCCCCACAGGGCCAGCCCTCTCACACAAAAGACATCCACTTCCAAGTTGTTTCAAAATGGCTCAGTAAAGCAACCACAATTCCATGTTGGAGCCAAGGGAAACCATAAAATTGAATTTGAAAAAGTGGAAATACAATTTCCTGTGACCATGGTCAAGCAGAGAATGTTTGAAAACTATTATATTCAGTACATTTAATTCTATATTTCTAATCTAGGTGTGTTACGATGTTCTTATAGATTTTATCATGTGAACTCCCTAAGCCACAAACTCCACCTTCACAAAAAATGACATAATTTCCTTTGTCCGACCTCCATTGCACAGTCAGTGAGCTCACCTCTTTACAGGGGTACAGGCGATAGAACAGGAGAGTTTTGCAAGGGGGCCGGTACCCCGTCACGATGGCCCCCAAATCCAAAGGCTTCCCCTCCGGGTAGGCAATTGTGATATCCAGCACCCAATTCAAGTCACTGCTACATAGTTCATGACCTGCAGACACACAAAAAAAAACAACAACTAATGACAACATTACACAACAATTGACACATGCCACCATTCAATTATTATTAATAATTAGCCACCACCATTAAAAATATTGAAAAAAAACAAAGCAAATTTTGTGGGGTAACCACGGGGTATATCATGGTGAAGAAAATTGAAACGAACTATTAATTAATTTGTTTTCCACCCAGACTGCAAGATAGTTCTGTTGATATGTGTGCTATTGAAAAGATCTTAAGTTAAAATATACTTTTGACACTGGACAATACCTGTTATTTACTTAATGAAAAGAGATAACTAATGTATAATAAAACTAACAACAACAACATAATAATAACAACAACAATAATAATAACAATAATAATAAAATAAAGTATTAGTGGCAAGGCATATTACAAAATAAACCGCCTAAGTGAAAATAATTATTATTTAGGTACATAATATATACCATATCAACGCAGGTGGAGGCAGCGCAGGTGGCAGCGGCAGGTGGCAGGCGGCAGGTGGGCAGCGGCAGGTCGGCAGCGCAGGCGGACAGAGAGGGGTCGGGCAACGACGGGTTGCCAGCGGCGGGCTGTTGCAGCGGCGGGTGTGCAGCGGCGGGTGTGCATGCGGCGTGGTGTGCAGCGGGCGGGTGTGGCAGCGGCGGGTTTGTGCAGCGGCGGGGTGTGCAGCGACGGGCTGGCCAGCGACGGGTGGGGCAGCGACCGGGTGGGCAGCGAAGGGGTGGCAGCGACGGGTGGGCAGCGACGGGTTGGGCAAGCGGAAACGGTGGCAGCGACGGGTGGGCAGCGACGGGGGGCAGCGACGGGTGGGCAGCGACGGGGTGGGGCAGCGACGGGTGGGCACAGCGCTGATACGAGGCTGCTCTCACGCGAGTGGAGGAGTATGTGTCACTGTGCGACGGGACAAATGCGAGGCAGATAGCCCGCGAACATGCTGAACTGTGGCAGCTTGATACGGCGCGCGAGAAACACGCGGCGAGAGCTGCTCTCACCATTCACCGGTGGCTGTGCGCCGACTAGACGTACATTGTGAGCTCAGTCGGACACCGACGGTGGGCAGGCGCGCTGGGATGAGGTCCAGCAACACGGTGGAGGCAGCACAGCCGACTATGAGTGGCTTTGCAGAGCGCCGCAGCAATCGGGTAGGTAGAGATCGCTGGTGAGATAAGCGAGCGTGCATACAGAGATGCAGGGCGCACTGGCGTTGGGGTAGCTCAGTGTTGTGAGGTTGATAGGGCCGGGTTCGAGCTGCCACTGTACCGTCAGTAGGACTGGCTGGTTGCGAGGTTGTGTCGTCGGGAGGTGCTGATCCGCGGTGAGGTGTCGCAGCGGGCTTTATGCGTTGTATACGGCGTGGAGCTGCTGTGAGGGCCTGCGGGTGGGCGGGTGAGGGGTGCGGGGCGGGGCGGGTGAAAAAAAAGGGGGGGGCCCGGCCTTCACGCGAGGGGCGGGTGGAAAGTTGGGAACGTGGACAGGGGCGATGGAGGAAGGGGGGGTTTTGACGGAAGCAGGGGGGGAGGGGGAGCAGGATGATGCGGCGACTATAGCCCATCTCAGTGCCGCGCGATTGAGGAGGCCGGTTGTGTGGGTAGTGGAGCGAAAGCCTGAGGGTTGTGGCGAGAGTGAATAAGAGATCGGTTGGAGGGTAAAGGGACCCGAGCGGCGGGGACTGGACGCGTGAACTACGTGTTTCAGTGGCTCGATTCTGCACGGCCGACAGGCGGAGGTCCCGGTGGCGCTATCCTACAAAAAATACCCGGCAACGCACACAGGGTTGTGGTGTGTGGTGTGCGTGTGTGTGTGGTGTGTTTGTGTGTGGTGTTGCGCGCGCGTGTGCATCAAGGAGAATAGGAGATTTGAATGTAAATGGACACTTCGCATTACATTA